TTTGTATGGTTTGATTTTTGTTTGTGTTTGCATTTTAACCAAAATACCATTTAAAATTTTTTGATAAAAGAATAATGTAGAAGTGATTATGAATGTCATCCCCTATATATAATGGTGGCTTGTCATGGCAAATCTATGTTATTAATTAGTGGAATTTATCTTTTATGTGGGCTATTTATTTTAATTCAATTGATGATATTTGGGCTACGTATTGAGAATTGGGTCTTACCATTTACCATTAAGCTAGCAAATATTTACATGAGATTTTCTTGTATAAATTTAATTATTTAATAAGAATATCATTAAGGATTTTACCATTTCATATTAAATATGTTGCTATGTAATCATTTATTTGGGAAGAATGATTGTCGAGCAAACTCCAAAAAATCACTTCCTAAATAATTTACAAGGGATTTTTTTAATTTTTTGTTATTTTGTCATTTTGTGATCAAGTAGAATAATAGTATACTAGATTTTGACTCACGCCAAACGTGGGATTAAATAATTAAATATGTTTTAATCGAATTTAATATTTAGACGTGTACTCTAACATTAATAAACATGCAAAAATTATATGTATTGTGCATACATATAATAGAGCTAAATTTTGATCAAACATAAACATATTTTATCTTTGTTATTTTTCATTTATCCCATCTATTAAAAATAATCAGGAATTTTTGTTTTTGAATATTTTATTACTGCTTTTGACTCGGATAAAAAAATCTAGTATTATTGAAAAGAAAATATTTTCAAATATTTTCTATATTCCTTAAATAAAATTCTCTATATTAATTACCACATATTCTTTATTTCCATATATTTGTTATTAAATTTTTTTAATAAGTTTTGTTAGGAAATGAATTCTTTAAAATCCTCTTAGGATGACACATGATTTTTACCTAGTGTCTCCTCTATTAATATATAGAGGATCTTATATTAAAATCAAATTATTCTATTATAAACCAAAAGATAGAATATAAAATTTTCCAATCTTTTTTTTTTGCGACATGCTATAATGTTATCATATAATTTTCTATCATGTTTAATATATCAATATTTTAATAACACGGAAAATTTTTATATATTTTAAAATAATTCACATAAAATAGTTTGAAATTATTGTTTACATTTGAATCCCTATTTTACTAATATTGTAAGATCGAATTAACTCCACCATTAAAAAAAGTCCAATAAATACACTTTTTAAAACGTATGGCAACATCTTGAGGGTAAGAAATTGGAATTATAAACTGCATGTATTGTATTAAAATTAAACTTTATATGTGAACATTTTAATCTCTAACGCATGGTATTATAAATCAATAATTGATACTATAATCTTGTAAGTTTAGGCAAAACAAAACTAATCTGGACACACCATTAATTAAAAACYAAAAAAAAATTATGACACATATATAGATTGTTTTATGCAAATACCCATAAAGACATGAGTAAAACTAAAGTTGTATAAAAAAACTATCATTTTGTTAAAACATTGAAGTAGCTATATAAATTTAGATAATATAAGAATCAAATTCTGTGAACCAAATATGTGATCAATCAATTTCAAAAGCAATTACATTTTACTAATTTTATTTACCTATATGTTTATCTATAAATTATTGTATATTTCACTATATAAATTTTATCTTTTCGTCCACGTGTGGACATTCATTTTTTTTTACAATAGTGAACACGAACTATAACAAAGAGATTTAAAAAGAATAAGCTGAATTTTAGAGAAAAATTGAAAAATATAGTATTCAGATAAAAATATTTGTATGAATCATCATATGGTTCACTTTTATATTAAACATTTAAAAATGAGGTTTTAATTTGTATAAATATAAATTGTGAGCAGAAATCTAAAACATCATTTAATATATCAATGTTA